ACCCCCGAAACGGCCGGTCGGCGGTACCAAAGGGGCCGCCGGAAGTCCAGAAATGGCTGCCGGCAGCCGTTTTCGCACCCTGCCCTCGCTTAGCGAAGGCGCGAAAATGGCTGCCGGCACCTGGAATTCTCGCTGAATGGGTAAGTAACAAAGGTATTGGGACGCATTAAACTTCCCCTACCCATTTCCCCTACCCATTTAGCGACGATTTCGCATAGCGAGGGTTAATCCGGAACGGATTAACCTCGCTATGCGGGGCACCACTGCAATACAAAAATATGGTTTGGAGCATGGATAGGACATTTCGGCCTTCAGGTATTTTTTGGACCACACACCCAATGCTATGACCCCCAGTCAGGGACTATGGGGGCTGCTGCACTACACATCTGAAAGGCACCATGATGTCCAAACCTGATTTGGAGGAGAGATTATTATACCTGAATGCAGTCACTGTAAGTGCTGCTCTCTTCAATTTTACACCACAAGACTGTTGTTTAGGAAACCAAGACAATCTAACTAGAATTGGACACAGTGGGATGGGGCAAAGAAGCAGTGTACAGATTGATTATTCATTTCCAGGGTTAGCTGTTTTACAGTACTCTATAAATCTGGCTACTAAATTTTATTTTTACATATAAACATTAAACATGTAAAATGAAATGCAACATCGTGTCTTCAAGATGTGTAATGCAGTAAACCTGAGAGCAACAGTATATCTTCATCTGAGTAATACATGAAATAGAACAACAGAAGCTCCCTTATGCTTGATCAGATTATCTACAGTATCTAACTACATCAGTCTAGTCCAGCCAGGCTTTCCCAGTATGGAGCTTTCCAAAAGTGCTGCACTACAGATCCCCTCATTCCCAAGCACCTAGGAATGATGAAAGGTGCTCTCCAAAAATTTAGAGTACACTAGGTTTAGAAAGTCTAACGTACAACATAGAAGTAATATTTCTCAGTCCTATTTAGAGATGCATGAGGTTGACGAAACTTCAGTATGCAAAGCTTGTGGTCTTCTCTCTATTCAACTTTGCTGATCACATACAATTTTTAAAATAATGAATTTTTCCTATTTTTATGAAGTTTAGTTCTGACACAAACACACTCACTGTCTGTATGGTCAGAACATCTATCACACATGCCTCTCATTACTTTTGACACTTAAAAAATCAAAAATTGCTACCAATTCAGATAATATACATTTAGAAACTCTACACACAAAATAATTCCTTGCTGCTGTCTCCTAAGCTTTCCTAGAATTATAAGAATGTCTTGTTTTAATAAAAAAAAAATCCCCAAATATGACATAATTTCACAAATTAGAGTGGACAACTTTTGGCTCTCCATCTGTTGTGGACTTAAAACTTCTAGCACCACAACTGGACAACTGGAAATCAGCCATTTCTCTCTGTGCGTGGAAGTAGTTCCACATAGATCTCAACATTTAGTATGTTTGCCTAAAAAAGCCAATGACTGCATGCACACCTACTGAAGATTTCAAGTCTGGGATCTGTGAAAATAAGAAGCAGTACAGAAATATTCCTGGAAAAAAGATGTCAAAATTCAAATATAGTATAATAATTAGCTAACCAAATGTTACACAAAACTTATGCCTGAAGACAAGTGTTGCAGCCTGGGGAAGTTACTATTTTGTCACTACTTAGTTATATGGCTTTTCATTCCTTAGCCAACCATTCCAAGTTTAACTGATGTTTCACATCACATTAAATTAGCGGATATATACACTGCCCACACTTTTTTTCCTGTATTCTAAAATTACATGTAAATCTTTCTATTTTCTACAAGGTACAGCATATAGGCCAGAATAATGCAGAGTAAAAAGAACACATAGTCTTACGTGTTAAAGGCACATTTAGTGTAGCCATTATTTCCACCACACATGAAACAATCAAATTCATAAAAATAGTACAGTACATGTAAATTCTAGGGATTTTAACTTCAACATATACCACAGGTACAGGAAAGATTCTGCTGACAGATAGGGTTCTGCCTTTATATTTTAGCTCAGTGGTTTAGATATCTAACTGTGGCGCCAGAGGCTGATTCAATTCCCCACTGTGCCTCCTACAAGTAGAGTCTGCCTGTGTGGCCTTGAGCAAGCTGCATAGTCCCAGGGCATATGCAAAAGGAGGGAAGGGTAAACCACTTCTGAGTATTGTCCACCTGGAAAACCCTGAAAAAAGTTGCTGTAAGTCAAAATTGTCTTGATGGCACATAACTATTGCAATTAATACTATTATGTTTGCATAAATGTTCATCTAAAGATGCATAAGCAAATTTATTTATTTATAAAACGTTTTTACTCAGCCTTTCTCCTTGAAAGGACCCAAATTTAAAATTGCCTTTCATTGGTGCTTTACTGGTAAAACAAATGTTATCACGGCCTACATAAAGATGTATTTATATATGGCAAAGAAATGTCAGAAAATTGTTTTTCCTGTATACTATGAGAGTGACATCATGAAAATGTCAACAATGAAACAAATTTTAGAAAACTATTATGATGATGAAAAGGAATGTGTTAAATATAGGATATATACCATAACAGAAGACAATAGGAGGTCACTGAAGAATATCTACTTGACAAGACAGGGAAAGGAGGAAAGGTCAGGTTTTCAGGAAACTTTTATGATCTCCCCAATACATTTTCCATGCAAATCACATTAAAGTCAAGGGTTTTATACACTGAACAAAAGGACCTTTCAAAAATAATGAAGAACTGCTTCACCTCAAACAAGAACTGCCAGAGCCTTACTTCTCCTCAACTGAAGTGAAACCCATAATTCCTTCTACCACAAAGCTCTCCCTTCAACTGTCCAAACTCTTTGCAACTAAGCCAACTTTATGTCACTGGAAATAGAAAGTACTGTAATATGGAATTGTATTTCAAAGTCGTTTCAAAAATCTAGAGAAAAGTAATTTCTATATTTTATGCAGACTGCTACGTCATGCCACATTTTACAAATTCCTGCATAAGAAGCACTTCCACATTGAAATTAAGGTACTGCATGTGGCTCAGAATGGGATTATTATGTAACAACCTATACCGTATAACTCATTCATTTCTAAATGAACGTGTAAATGGAGAATATATTCTGCAATGTGGGCAGGAGACTCCAACAGGCCAAAAAGTAGCAAGTAGGAAGAAACAAAATACGTGTTTGTTTTGAGAAAGCAAACACATATTAGCCGCAGCAGTGTCAAGTGCATTACCTCATAGCCAAATACCTCATTAGATTTAAAGAATGCACAATTAAAATTCTGAAGCATTCTGCGAAATACTTAAGTGTTGGTGTAAACCAAAAATATCTATACAGGTATACAGATTCTTGAGATGGGGAAGCCCACAACCTAGAAATCCATGATTATACACAAGTGTTAACAGTTGACAAATCACAACATAGTTGGGCTCAGGCTCTTAACCCCAATGACAGGCTTTGGATTAACTCATTTACTTCAATGTCACAAAGGCTTTTCCACCCCATGTTCTAATACTTACTGTCAATTCCCACATGCTCAGCTACTCCTGAACCTCTCATTCTTAGGTAAGTGAGTCCCAGTATCAGAAAGAACAAACAAGCAGCAGTTAAGAGGAACATAGACAGGTAATGAGCACTGAAGCCTCCTGTAGTGGATATTTCTTCTCTCTTGAACTGCTGAAGAAGATCCTCTTCCGGCTCTGAAAGTTTCTGTTTGTAGGTGTTTTTCAGGTAGTTATGGTTGGAACCTGTGTGGTTGGAGTGATTAATTCTAGTGGAGGTGGAAGCAGTAGCACCTGGAGAAAGGCTGTTGGCAGCAGTATATATCCTCGGTTCAGTACTGTAGCCACCAACAGCACCGGGGAGAACATGATTATTGGCTGGCTTTCTGTGACCACCCAAGGAATCGGTCATTTTGCTAGGGTCCAAGTCGGTGAGTGGTGGCGGCAATACCAGCTGATGAGCTTTCTTAGAAGAACTGGAGCGGTATCTCGGGTAGAGGGGGCTGGAGTCGAGATAATCGCCATCTCTTCTGGCCACTGACACTTCCTCCTCCTCCTCCTCCAGATTTTTCCCCCGACCGGTGGCAGCAGCCAGCCTGGCGTCTAAGCAAAGGCCGCCGCCGCCGCCGCCGCCCAAGGCAGGACCCTGCCCCGTCTCCATCAAACCGCCGCCGCCTGCCGCACATTTATGTGCTGCGAAGGGGGCAATGGATTTGCTCAGGCTCTTCTTGGCCAAGTAGTGGCGAGCAAGCGCCTCCTCTTTCGATCCCTGCGGCTTGGCCCCAGTAACCGGCGTCTCCTCGTCCTCTTCCGAGTCAGAGTACTTCTCCCTCCTAATCGGGCCGCCGCCGCCGCCGCCAAGGAACCGATTCCCGTTCACGGCCCGAGCCTTGCACCGCTCCCGCGGCGGCTCTTCCTCTCCTTCCTCCTTCGCCTCGGCGTCGTCGTCGTCCTCTGCGCCGCCGCCGCCCCCAGACTCCCGCCCGCCCTCAGTCTGCTCCCAAAGCCCAGCCGTGGCCGTGGGTCGTCTAGG